CCACGGTGATCCCAGGGTACTGCTCCACTGGCGCCTGGGCAAACAGCTCCCCTGCAGGTGGAACAGGGCATCGCACGTCAGACAGCGCCAGGCTGTCTCATGGTGTGCGTCACATCGGTCACGTTACACTGGAACGTGGACCAGCGGTCAGTCAGTCAGTGTGTCAGCGCAGGTTGCTGTGTCAGCGGGTCAGAGGGTCAGTGTGTCAGCGGGTCAGCGGGTCAGCGTGTCAGTGTGTCAGTGTGTCAGTGTGTCTGCACAGGTTGCTGGGTCAGCGGGTCAGCGGGTCAGTGTGTCAGTGTGTCAGTGTGTCAGCGCAGGTTGCTGGGTCAGCGGGTCAGAGGGTCAGTGTGTCAGCGCAGGTTGCTGGGTCAGTGGGTCAGCGGGTCAGTGTGTCTGCGCAGGTTGCTGGGTCAGCGGGTCAGCGGGTCAGTGTGTCAGCGGGTCAGCGCAGGTTGCTGGGTCAGCGGGTCAGCGGGTCAGTGTGTCAGCGCAGGTTGCTGGGTCAGCAGGTCAGCGGGTCAGTGTGTCAGCGGGTCAGCGCAGGTTGCTGGGTCAGCAGGTCAGCGTGTCAGCGCAGGTTGCTGGGTCAGCGGGTCAGTGGGTCAGTGTGTCTGCGCAGGTTGCTGGGTCAGCGGGTCTGTGTGTCAGCGGGTCAGTGTGTCAGCGGGTCAGTGTGTCAGCGGGTCAGTGGGTCAGTGTGTCAGCGCAGGTTGCTGGGTCAGCGCAGGTTGCTGGGTCAGCGGTTCAATGTGTCAGCGCAGGTTGCTGCGTCAGCGGGTCTGTGTGTCAGCGGGTCAGCGGGTCAGCGGGTCAGCGGGTCAGCGGGTCAGCGCAGGTTGCTGGGTCAGCGGGTCAGTGTGTCAGCGCAGGTTGCTGGGTCAGCGGGTCAGTGGGTCAGCTCAGGTTGCTGTGTCAGCGGGTCAGCGGGTCTGTGTGTCAGTGGGTCAGCTCAGGTTGCGGTGTCAGCGGGTCAGTGGGTCAGCGGGCCGATCCAGTGCCTCTCTCACCGGACACCTTGTCCTCCAGCTTGATGTAGGCCACCTTTCCTCGGGCTGTGATCCGCAGACGCCCCACCCAGTCGGGCTGCTCCAGTTTCCAGTCGGCTGCCCTGCAACACAGCAGCACCGCCC